CTTTAAAGTTGTCCAAATGAAGTTCTTAGTGATGCATATTACTAATCAGAAATTAAGTTTTGATATATTTTTGGTAGGAAATTTACAAAATATCTTCATGGAACATGATCTGTACTTAATATCCTAATGATTTTTGGCATAAAAGAAAAATCTATAATTTTGACCCATACAATGTTTTTTTGGCTATTGCTAAAAATATATCCCAGCGACTTAAGGCTGGTTTTGTGGTCCAGGGTCACAAATTATTGATGTAAAATACCTGTCTATCATTCCCAATCTCTCAGTACACTTGAAGGTGTGTCCTTGATATTATGATGGTCTGTTGGTGGTGAAGGACATCAGCACCTGTGGGCACATCTGGACCAGCGTTCTCACGGGCGATCAAACGAGCACTTCCTCTAGTGTCCCTGCATCAAGCAGCTGTGCGTCTCATAAAGGCCATATGTTGTAGACGTCTCTTCACCTCCTCGGATTTCTCTTTCATCCTCTCTCTCTCGCTCTCTTTATTCTGTCTGTAAATCCTCCCGCTCTGTGGACTCCATCTGATAACGAGTCTCCAGTCATTTTCAGGCTTTATTTTATTAGTGGCATTTTATCAAAGACTGAGGTCCTCCGAGATGCTCGTTTGATATTTAATCTTTCCGTCAAGGCCTGGAAAACACTATTACGCGCCGCTGGCTCTATACTGGCGTCTGCGCAGCTCTCGCACAGACAGACTTTATGGATTTTGTCTGTTTGACTATTAAAAAGCTTTAATTGGCTACATTGCATTCATTTATCTCTCGGTGAGATCAGCGATTCCTGCGTGATTTAACTGGTCAGACAAATGGATGAATTCACATAATAGTGTCGTGTTCACAATCATAAATACTGTCTACACTTCCAGTATGCTCATAAAAGCAGTCAAGCCATTTCTTACCTGTTAGTCTCAGGATCAGATGAACTGCACAGGACAATGACAAAAGGTAACTGGAATCTGCAGGTCACATCAGATTAATTACAAGTTGTGTTTACATGTTTAAAAAAACTGCTAAGTCCAAAAAAGAACTTATTGAGGATTTTGAGATTTTTACAGGTTTACCGGTGCATCTCAATAAATTAGAATGTCGTGGAAAAGTTCATTTATTTCAGTAATTCAACTGAAATTGTGAAACTCGTGTATTAAATAAATTCAGTGCACACAGACTGAAGTAGTTTAAGTCTTTGGTTCTTTTAATTGTGATGATTTTGGCTCACATTTAACAAAAACCCACCAATTCACTATCTCAACAAATTAGAATACTTCATAAGACCAATAAAAAAACATTTTTAGTGAATTGTTGGCCTTCTGGAAAGTATGTTCATTTACTGTACATGTGCTCAATACTTGGTAGGGGCTCCTTTTGCTTTAATTACTGCCTCAGTTCGGCGTGGCATGGAGGTGATCAGTTTGTGGCACTGCTGAGGTGGTATGGAAGCCCAGGTTTCTTTGACAGTGGCCTTCAGCTCATCTGCATTTTTTTGGTCTCTTGTTTCTCATTTTCCTCTTGACAATACCCCATAGATTCTCTATGGGGTTCAGGTCTGGTGAGTTTGCTGGCCAGTCAAGCACAGCAACACCATGGTCATTTAACCAACTTTTGGTGCTTTTGGCAGTGTGGGCAGGTGCCAAATTCTGCTGGAAAATGAAATCAGCATCTTCAAAAAGCTGGTCAGCAGAAGGAAGCATGAAGTGCTCCAAATTTCTTGGTAAACGGGTGCAGTGCCGTTGGTTTTCAAAAAACACAATGGACCAACACCAGCAGATGACATT